CCCCAAAACCCCAAAACCCCATGATGATATATAAGTTGAATTCAAAAGCAATTTATATAGCATAGCAATTGAGTATTAATATATTGATTGATCAAAGTTTTTACATGTCTTGATATTGAAATTTCTAAAATATCTTCCCCTAGAATCCACTTTTTTCTAATCTTAATAGCTATTCTCTTCTTGTTTCAGGGAAGAATTCCTCAGGCACTGAAAAGTACCCTTAATACTTATTTTTATCCTTCTCCTAATCAATCATTTTTAAGTTAGTTAACTTTGTCACAACCGACAATGAATAGAACAATGGTATCTTAAATTACAGAGGAAACATGTCTTTTTTACACAGCAAGTGCAGTTTTTTCTAGCTTTACAAAAATTTAAAGGCATTCGATGATATGGACTCTGGCATCAGAAACAGTAGAGTCTCAATCATGTTAAGAAAACTGTCAAACTTAATTGGGAAATTCTCGGCTAGCCAGACCTAGCCTGTGAACTTATCCTCTTCATAGGACTCTTGCTACTTTTAGTTCAGCAGTCTATCCTTAGCATAGTCGGAGAAATACTCATTTTCACTCATAGTTGAGAGTTCTTCATAAGTCTGCTAGTCGAAGAACTAAAATAGGGTCTTGTTGTACTTAAATTTGTTAGCATAGTTGTACTCCTTGCAATAGTTGCCATCAATCTTGATATGCTTCTGAAAGCCAAACATATTAGTGCTCGGCTCTATCTCAGTATCAATTTCGTCCAGGTAATTGCAAATGAAACGCTTGTGCGAGACTACTCTCCTAGTCAACAGTATTTACTCATCTGATATAAGTTCTCCAAGCATGTCTGTGTACTATAGATTGTCCCAGTCTAACAGCAGCAGATTCATCGGCTTATCAGATATTTTGCTTGCAGGGTATTTATCACCATCTCTAAATATAAGTGAGAAATTCTGCTTTAGAGGGTTTTGACTGACCATACTGTACTCAGGTTTATGCCAGAGTTTAATGTTTTTGAAATCGACTCTGAACTCCTTGCCGATCTTAATGAACTTCATGGTGTCATGGGGCAGCACATTTTAAATCAAAGGGATTACACTTGAGACTATCTCCCAACTCAGATCAATGCTAAAATCAGGCAACTAATTGAACAGCTTCTAAGCAAGAGCTAGTCTCTTATTAACTTTAGCAAAGTAGTTAGAGGCTTGATGTTTGAATAAAAACTCTATCAGCTCGTTATTTTTCTGATAGATGCACTCATCATATATATTCATACCATAAGCATCTACCTCAAGTCTTATCAAAGTACTGCCACATATATTAATCAAAGGTTCAAGCATTTCCTTCCCGAATACCATATAATCCTTATGCGAAAGTCTTGCAGCTAAAGTTAAAGCAGTGAACCCATTTTGATCTCTAATCCTTAAAATTTCCTCTACATCCTCCTTCTTCAACGTCTCTCTAAAGCACCTTATCATTTCCTAGAGTGACTTTGAGTCTTTATTGACTATAAGTCTATGAATAAAGTACTAATCTTGGCTAAGAATCGATTTATAAGATTATAACTGCATCTGAAGTTGCTCCTTGCTAGGACTTTTCTCCATTATTCTGATAATATTTAACTTAATTCTTATTTCTGAAATTACCAAATTCACTTGATGGGGTTTTGGGGTTTTGGGGTTTTGGGG